CCCCCCCCCCCCCCCCCCCCCCCCGGCGGCCCAAGGAAGCGGAGGTGGGAGAAGCAGATCAACGCCGAGGCTGCCCAATAGGAAGTTACTCGGCACGAGACACCGCTGTAAGGGCAACGCGAGATTCGAAAGAGTCAGTCTGTCCATACGGTACGGCCTCGTTTTCGGTTGCATTCTGCACTTGACGAACATCTCCATTGCACCACTTTATGCGGACAAGTTTCTTTCGAAATTCCTCCTCCCCTGGCAACAGCAAGTCTTCGTCCGATCCTACCAAAACCAGTACCTGTGGCAGCAATTGAGGGCGCACACAGGACATCGATGATCGAAAAGCTGTTCTATTTGAAGTTTCCCGAGAGTTTCTCCGGGCCAAGAAGAGAACACCCCCGGCGAACCTATGCACCAGCATCCCCAAGGAGACCGCGGTACCACCTTCCCCTGCAGCCATATCCTCCGGGCCGCCGTCGACATGTGAAGAACGGAGTTTCGGCGCAACCTGCATCCAGATACCTGAATCTCTCCGACTAATGCCTAGGAATCGAGCACACTCAATTCGACGTCGTTCCACACACAGGCTCTGTGTGCGGCTACGTCCGATGAGTCTTACAAGAAGGAGGAATCGCTGTCAATCGTGAATGGGCTCTCCTAGCACAACGGGCGATTGAGCAGGCCCATTAGTACGACGTTGTGCCACTTTAAGTAGCTTGCGACGAACGCATATCACACAGCTGCAGCGATGCGCATACGTAGGCTGTCCGCTGCGTCTATCCGTACACAAACCCTAGCTCGGCCCACACGCGGTATATCTCATCCTTGATCGCCTCGTGACCCAAGCTTCTCCTTGTTCTCGTCAGTCTATGGTATCGGAAGCCTGAGACAGCATGTACCATCAAGAAAGATCACTCACGGATGGAAAGTCTTGCCGTAATATGTAGGAACATACTACATGGAGTTTTGCGATATGATGTCGTCGCGGGCAAATCGTAGCGATGGATCTTCCTGTTGTGCCCTGGCCATGTAGCAGATGGCAAGCAAACCCCAGTCTCCGGAATTTTCAGCCGGGCCCAGACAGGTATCAGGGTCTACAAAAGGAGATGGGGATGACAACGTCCTTGCGGACGTGCAGTCGCAACCGGCGCCAGCGACGGTACCATTCGGAGCCGGTGTGGGGTCCATCACGTTCGGATCGTTGTCCTTCCCACCCACCAAGAAGAACCACGTCTCGGTCCTGTTGTACGCTGGCTCCGTCACATTGGGCTCGCAGAAGCGATGGCCATCGAATCTGGCATCATAATCAACAAAAACCACCTTGGGCTGCGCGAACCTGGAGTTGACGTTGTCTATGGACTTTCTCAGTTTATCGTTGACTGCGAGGACCAGGTCGTTCATGCGCTTGCGGACACGGACTCGATCAAGTTTGGGGCCTTGTGACCACACACCCAGCGTGCAGTTGTCGCACTCATCGGTGTCGGCGTTGAAAAAGCGCGCGTATCCTGTGACGGTGATGACAAACCAAGGGCGTTTCTCCCACTGGACCTTATCCAATATCTGCATGACGACCATCTCCAGACGTTGTTCAAAGGCGCTGCCCTCGATTTGCTCGGCCGCCTCATGTAGTGCCGTTTCGCAAGTACCGGAGTAGAAGCTGTAGAAGCGAAAGATGCAGGCGTTCATCACCTTGAAGAAGCCTAGATCGTTGCCTCCAATAGAAAGCAGCGCAAAGTCTGCATTGATCGAGGCGTTGAAGCTATCGACCTGACTGCGCTCGCCTCCCGACACGATGTTACCAGTTGTAGAACCGGTGCAGGAAAGAAACTGGAAGGCTGTCGTATTGGGTCCTTGGCTTCCTGCTAGATCAGCGTGGATCAAGACAGGGTGTGCGCGCTCTCCGAGTCTACAATCAGTCTCCTTGCCATGTACGCCTGTCCCGATTCCCGCGCTGTAGGAGTCCCCAAATGCAACGAGGCCGGCTGTGCCGGGTGATCCAGGGCGAGTCAGGAGGGGAACAACCTGGGTTGTGCCCGACAAGGACTCTGCGAGGCTTCAAGATCAGTTGAGGACATATCTTGTGGCAAATGAATTTCAATACGTGCCTTGGTGAGAAGTAATAACGTGCTGGTCTTCGTCCGGACCTCCAGAGGACGGTGCTATTTGGTCGTCGAATGGCACAGCTGCCCTGACTAGCAGAAAAAATCGATACAAGGCGAGTAAAAGGACCATGTCTCGATGCACACCGGAGAGCTGTGTGGCGGGAGATTGATGGAATATGCACCGGAGACTCAACACAGGTCCACGCGAGATTAGACCTGTCGCGACAAAGGGTGCAGGAACTTGATAAACCCAGCCCATCCCGTCAGCTACGGCCATTCAAACGTGCACAGCGAGTTGGTGTCAGCATGGTGGCATGACATACCGCGCGGCTTACGCATCGGTATGTTGTTTGGGTTAGGCCAGTCGAGTACGTGGACCAACGCCCGAGGGACATTCCAGAACGCTGGGAGGTCCACTTTATGTCGCCTTCAAACGGTGTACGGGCAAGTGGTCGATCCAACTCACGCGATGGGGAAGACCGAGGAATGGCACATCGCATATTTTCGTCAAAGGCGTAACAGCGACCGCCTGCACTGTTGGCAGGCAACTCCGACTCGGTACCTACCCACTCCACTAGAACGCCGGGTACCCGGCCGGGTTCCACGCCGAAGGTCCCGCATGTGATGAAACGGGGCGTTGGATGCTTGGGGGGTCTTCGACCTGGCTTTCCACCCTCACCGTCCCGCCCACCGAAAGAGAGGGGGAGAGCAGCGCTTCTTGAGCTAAGGCGTGGCATGGAAACACAGCTATGGCTTATGGCGCTTGTGAAAGCGGTAACGCGAGTTTCCATGAAGAAGACCCTTAGCGGCAGCCAAGCTTCGGGAGCGGGACAAGCATGGTGATGGTGCCCTTCTTGGCTTCTGCTGGTGCGCACCGAAAGCAAAGACGCAACGAAGGTCCATCTTCCCAAGCTTCCTGCTGACAGCTGATACCGAATACTGCGGTAGTACTGCATACCTGCCATGTACATTACCTAACCTCCTCATCCGACCCATGACGTAATCGGTGCGCTATCTTGTTCACATCGATTCTCACTGAGCTCACCATCACGCTGGGATACTGCTTCCTTCATCCCATATAGCACGCGTGCCGCCCAACGTCATAGCTCTTCAGATTCCCCCAGACTGTCCCACTTTCCCAGCCAACGATCGACCGATCCCACCTGTGCCCCTCATCCCTCCGTCAAGACGCAGGGCTACCTTGGCGGGATGATGGACAGGCGCGCAGGATGACGAACCACCACACCAATACCTGTCCGCTCGTTGGCCAGGCCTTCGTCCTTCTTCCACATCGGGAGCCACTGCACTTCATCCGTTTGCGCCAGCCTTGACGTGACTTGCTTCAGGCGCTGCTCCCAGATGACCAAACAATCGCAACACGGCCTGCTTGCTTTTGCCCCAGGCCTAATCCCGTCAACCCTTCCCCCTTCCAAACCCACACTGCCTTGCTTTAGGCTCGCCCCCAGCCACCTTTGGTCTCCCCTCTGCTGCCGCGACGACGAATCCGAGGTCAGGATTCGACTGAAGAGCATCTAGACGACGACCGGACGTGGCTGCTACACTAGCCATGATGTGCCCACCGCCGCTCGAGTACTATGTACCTCACTTACACAATTAATGCCAAATATCGGGCAAGGAGGTGGCACAGTCGACTCCCGATGCGCCTCTTCTGCTGCTATAGCTGAGGTACACTTTAGACGACCTGGGCCAAGATATATCGTCCTTACCCGAGCCGTTCCAACCGTTGCATCAAAAGCCTGCATAGCACGCTACCGTAGCCGCGCCAGAAGGGACTTGTGCCGGACCTGCCCTACCCACCACTTGATGAGCCCCCCGCTGTCCAAGTTAAGCAAGGTGCGCTCATCGACGAAGGTAGCAATGTAGACAAGGAACCTGCAGGACCTGAAGACGTCAGACTTAGCCGAAGATACATATAAGAAGATTCATGACATCCTCGCCCCGGCAGCTGTTTTCCCTCTCCATAGCATCTACCAACGCGAATTCATTGAACCACCAGTACATCGCACCCCGACTTCGGAAACACCCAAACAGCGTTCACATCACTGAGAGTCGGGAAAATCTGCGGGATTCCACAAACACCGAAATAAGAAAGTCATAATGGAAGCCATCAATACCATGGCGAGCGCTGCAACCAAGGCCATATGGGGAACAAATGACGCTAAGGAAGAGCCTGTCTCTGGCGTGTCCGGAAATACGAGCAATGGCGAACCTTATGACGCCGGCAACATCGGTATGAAGCAGAAGAGGCACGGCACACTTGCAAGTTGCCCATGCTGACACGGGCGCTAGAGAATCCCATCAAGAAAGCCGACGTTGCGGACGACGCTCGCACGGCGTCTAAACATGCTACGTCGACAATCGCCTCTGCCACATCCACAGAGACATCTGCCACGACCGAAGACACTGTCAAACATACGGATCAAATTGGCAAGCCTGAACTGAAAGAACAATCCGCAGATGACGCAGCTCCGCATGATAGCGCCGCCGGCAAAACTGACACGAGATCCCCGACTGACCCTGCTACCGACCCGAAACCCAAGGGTCAAGATGTCAGCACTTCAGGGACAGGTCCCGCTAACGAGGGCGACAAGCTCGACGGACCGGGCCCGAAGCCGCTGGAGGCGGTGGCCAAAGAACGTGGGGGCGACGCCGGTAGAGTGGAGGGCGCTTCTGGCGATGGCGGTCTTGCCGGTGACGCAGCAGTGGATGATGAGGAGGATGGTCCCCAGAAGAAGAGTCATGGCGAAGGTACTGGAGAGAAATATGTGAAGAGCACCGGTCTAGCAGCTGATGGTGGTGACTTTGACGCAACCAAACCTGGGGCTGGCCGGGAGGCGGACCGTAAGTACAAGCACCTATACCGGTACAAAATCTCTGTGCTCACACAGGTAACTAGGCCTGATGGACGAGAAAGATCCTGCTGCTGCCGCCGCAAAGGCTGCCGCCGCTAAGCCGGGTCAACATGACAAGACCAGCGGTAGCGAAGAGCGAACTCACAGCCCCGGCGATAACACAGAAAAGGAGAAGAAGAGTCTTGGAGACAAGATTAAGGCTAAGCTGCACCGACACTAACCCCGAACAAAATCTTTATCACGCGTTCCTTTCGGAGCTGAACATGTTGCTACTGCAATGTTTCTACATAATCAACCCTAGGTCAACACACGACCGGATTGTATGACAGTCATTCTTAATGAACCCACGAACCAAGGCTAGTACCGTGTATGTGGCACGGTTGAGACGTTTGAATTGTGACACTTTCTGGTGACCACGTCGGCGAGAGCGTTTGCTGTACTCGGTCACCATTATCTTGTCGCAATGCTTTGTATTTGTCAATTCTACCCTAGTTACAACAAGTGCCACGTGATAATACGTGGCTAAGAAAGCTTGGTCATTCCGTCACAAAATACTTGCCGCATATTCACCCCCAAATGACTCGGCGCAGTAGAAGGACATATCCGTCGCTGTCAGTCTTCCCTTGCCGTCAATGGTCTCAAATGATCGGTATAAGTTGCACCGCACTTCAGTCCATTTCTTTCAGTGGAGCTCTGATTTGTACATGAACATGCGCAAAACCATGACAAAGACACGCCTATGAGAAAATGGAATAGCGAGTTTGAACCATACCACGCGCGCTCGACGTGGACGTCGAAGTCCTTCCATTGCTTTTTAGGCTTGGGGAGTAAACACAGGCCATGATCGTGACCAGCTGCTCAAAAATAAAATAAAACAAACAAGCATTCATCATGGTTTTATCCCAGAATATCATACACCAAGATTCATTCATTCATCTTTTCATCCATAGCTCATCCGTCCCTTGCCTGCCGGCTGACGACCGAGATAGGTATGAGTATACCCACGCGACCCCGCCGCCCCCCCTTCGTACTCGTGGCTGTCGATGTTACAACTCGCCTCTTGGCCATGCCATGCCCACGTTCGTGTTTTAGAAAACACCCGTCGCTGCCTCTAATGGCCCGCGACACTCGTAGGGTCGTCCTTTCTTTCGTCCGCCGGAGTCGCGACTTGCTCGAATCGGCGAATCCAAGTTTACCTGGAGACGTTGCTCCCCGTCCTCAACCATGCGTGCTCCAGAGCCGAGTGGAGCGCATGTTGTACCCACAAGTTGAAGATGGCCGAAGACATCTATGAATCCATGGTCTGGCGCAGGGACGGACCCATACAGGGCCGGTCGCTGCGCACAACCTGGCTGCACAGATGATCAGCGCATGCTGCCGCACACTGGCTGAATGGGCGGCATCGAGTTGGGGCTATGGACGACCGTTCGTAGTGGTGCATGTAGCGGAGGCGCGATGCGTCGATCTCGTCCCAACAGGCTTTCATAGGAAGCCTGACTCGGCAAGTACCCTGTAATATTTCAACAGTATAAGCATATGTTCTTAGATGCGAGCAGGCAATGTCAAACAGTAGGAGTGGAGGTTAAAGTAAAGAGGCTTGGGTCAGCGAGAGAAATTTGACCACGCTGCATGCCATGGAACGAAGAACAAGAGTGGTGTATCGGACAAGGCTTGCGTTCTCATCCCAGCCTGAGCCCAGCCCCAAGAATACGAACTGGTCTTCCAGAGCTACATACCTTACGATTTTCTCGTCTTCTCGCTCGCGCGGCTCCACCTGCAAACTCTTGTCGTACATCTCATGTACGTCTCCAGCGGCTTGCATGTTGCTGATAATGTAGTCCTGTAGTTCGGGGACAGGTTGCAAGGAGTAGCCGACGGCCTGATACTGCTGGATATCACGAATAACTTCAGCTGTTTTAGCCCTCTTCGCGAAGTTGATGAGGTTCGTCTTTTTGATGACAGACGGAATACCGTCCTCAATGAAGGTTAGATCAGTCAAATAAACACCTTCGGCTGGGTCAGCACTTCCTAATGGCTTCACAGTTCATTGGGATCACACACCAAAAAAGGGGATACAGGGCGGGTTTGCCACGTGCAGAGCCTCTCTATACTCGCCAAAGTTCTTGGTGCTGGCCATGAGTTTCCTCATCGTCTCCAAGACACCCTGAGTCCTTTGCGGGACTTGATCCCAAGTCCGCTTGAGACGCGCGATTGGCGCAGTTCCAAGCGCCGAAATAATTGATGTAAGCGTAGAGAAGTTGTTGAGACTTCGGCATTTCTGCGTATCGTTAGTGCGAGACTTGCATTGCCGTGAGATTGCTTTACGTACGTCTGCTACCGAAACGAAATGCTTGATGACAATGACACGCTTCTTCACATCCATTTGTGCCAAAATCATCTCCGCAACCCAGTTCGTCATTTGATTTGAATGCAAGATGAGAGCCTTGACATTTGGTGCAGGCTCAG